TTCTTTCAACGTTTCTTCTCCTTCAACCGCAGCACTTTCTCGACCTCAGTAAGCTCTCTTCTCTTTTTCTTTAATGGCGGCTTGCTCGAATTAAATTCTTACCTTATGAATTCTTCCTTTCAAGTGAAAAAACGTTTTGGGTTTTATGTTTTTATTGGGTTTCCTTTGCTATTTCATTTGTTCCAATGTGATTTGCTTCTTTTTGTTATTTGGTTTTCTAAAGAAATTTCGATGGTTTAATGGTCAATGGTTCTGTTTCGATCTTATATACACGCTGTGATTAACTTTGATTTTGTCTTTGGTTTTTGTTTAAACAACCCAAAGTTTCTATCAACCGGTTGTTGTCGGATATTGTTAACTATGAACTCAAGCCTCAGCCATTTTGACGATAAGCTCCTGTCTTTGCATCAGAAATTAGCCTTGGCTGGAAAGAAATATGGCGATTTTATTTGCTATTTCTTTAAATGCTGAAATTTCCCTGTATCTGGTTGATAAGAAACGGGTAGAAGAATAAAAGGTCCAACTTTAGCTAGTCTAATCAATATACGGCCTGTACAGGACTTGTATGAGTATAAACGTTTCAGATAGAAGAGTTTGTGTAGCTATCTCAGATTTGATTAGTTTCATAAACAATCGTCATAACATTATACTTAATTTTTCTATTTTATTTCTAAGATACTAACTTTGCTTGATTTCTGCCTAAAGTTACCGAGTTAGATTTGGCTACAAGCATTTTCTTTTGTCCTTCCAAATTGTTAATATTGAAGATTTTATTCATGGTCAATTTAAATGTCTGAGCTTTTCCTAAGAAATGATCAGGGAGATTTTGTGCAAATGCCTACTGACTGAAATGGAATGCCTTATACAAAGTTCTAGTACAATCTTTAAAAGTATCAGTTATTTGATTGTATGAAATTCTTACAGGCTTTTCTTTCTGTGTAGGGCATCCAAAAGCTTCAAATTATTTAGCGGTTTACATAGCACAAATCTATTCTCTGCAAATGGATGCATGGCTGATTTGGCCTTTAGACAGTTGGGCAGCAGATCATCCTTAGTTATCAAGAATGTTGGCAAAAGTAGAGCTGCACTCGTAACTGGAGAAGGTGACCCCATGTCCTATTCGAATGGCAATGGTGCTTCGACAAATGGTACTCTCTTTAGTGATAAATCAGTTGGGGTTGAAGCACAACAAGATGCAGTAGCATTTGGAACACTTTCAGCAGATACCGCTCCCTTAAGTAATGGTTTTCCCATCGATAATGATGAGTTTGATTTGGATAGCCCCACTGAAGGTTTTGCTTCAATCCCTGAGGCTATTGAGGACATTCGCCAGGGCAAGGTTAGTTTTATCCTTGGGATGCTTTTTGTCCTATGAGCTGGCAAGACTTGTATGTTGTTTATTATTCTGCATGTTAATCAATTTGCTTTACTAATCTGAACTAATGTGCAGATGGTAGTGGTCGTAGATGATGAGGACAGAGAAAATGAAGGAGATCTTATAATGGCAGCTCAGTTGGCGACACCTGAAGCTATGGCCTTTATTGTGAAGCATGGAACTGGGATAGTTTGTGTGAGCATGCAAGAGGAGGATCTGGAGAGGTTGCAGCTTCCTTTGATGGTGAACCAAAGGGAAAATGAGGAGAAACTCCGCACTGCATTCACAGTTACAGTGGTACTTATTTTGTCTGATATCCATAAATTTGAGTCATGGATAATTTCATTTATCCCATGATTCTAAGTTAAATTTTATATTTAATTGTTTTATTGTTCAATTGCATTTACTGTACAATAACATATTTGAAAATTATAACCACGTACGGGAGGTTGAATCTGAATGCCGAAAATGTTAATGCCTGGAAGATAGTGATGATTGTGATTGCCTATAAACTTTTGATAAGCTGCCTGGAAGATAGTGATGATTGTGATTGCCTATAAACTTTTGATAAGCTCAAATTACCATTTTGGATAAATCTTTTTATGATACTTAGAGCAAAAAATTATTAAGGGTTAATTGATTTCAGTTCTAGAAGGATGGCTTCTGTAGTATCTAGTTTGATACTTCCAATGGTTCTCAACTTTTTTTGTTGCATGAAAACCAATTTGCAGGATGCAAAACATGGTACTACAACTGGGGTGTCAGCTCATGATAGGGCAACAACAGTATTGGCCCTCGCTTCTAAAGATTCCAAGCCTGAGGATTTCAACCGCCCTGGTCACATTTTCCCACTGAAGTACAGGGAAGGTGGTGTTCTGAAAAGAGCTGGGCATACTGAAGCTTCTGCTGATCTTGCGATGCTAGCTGGACTGGACCCTGTTGCAGTTCTCTGCGAGGTTGTGGATGATGATGGATCCATGGCTAGATTACCAAAGCTTCGTCAATTTGCTGAGCGTGAGAACTTGAAAATAATATCCATTGCTGATTTAATCAGGTAAATTAATAAACATGATAGAGCTTTGCTTTCTACTTATCTTACACGAATCCTACAGTTAAGTTGTCCAATTTAATTCTTGCCAAAACCATTGTTAATTGTATATGGCGTCTTTTAAAGAAGATAAAGTAAAGGACTATGTCTAATACTGCTTATGATTGACAGGTATAGGAGAAAGAGGGATAAATTAATTGATCGTGCTGGTGCTGCACGGATACCCACTATGTGGGGGCCATTTACGGCCTATTGTTACAGGTCAATCTTAGATGGGATTGAGCATATAGCAATGGTTAAGGTAAGGATATAACCATATTGTTATAGCTTGTTTCACCCTCCTATATATATCTGATTACTGCAGCATCCATATGGATCTTACATAAATAGTTTTCCTATGCTGAATCAAGTGAAAAATGTTTCAATATACTGCACACTTGTATTTTTTTTGTGTATATTCATTTAGACTTTAGGTTTTCTTGGATTAAGAGCCTTCCCCAAAGAACATGGCATGATTCTTTTCCATGGTGTAAGCAGGGTGAGATAGGAGATGGGCAAGATATTCTTGTGAGGGTGCACTCAGAATGCCTCACAGGAGACATATTTGGATCTGCTAGATGTGACTGTGGGAATCAGCTTGGCCTTGCAATGAAACAGATTGAGGCTGCTGGCAGGGGTGTGTTGGTATACCTTCGTGGGCATGAAGGCAGGGGCATTGGTTTGGGCCACAAACTTCGTGCCTATAATCTGCAGGATGCTGGTCGTGATACAGTAGAAGCAAATGTTGAGCTTGGATTGCCTGTTGATTCTAGAGAATATGGCATTGGTGCACAGGTACTTCCTCATCAAAACCACGCTAAATGAATATATCTAGCATAATTCAGTTGAATATGGTATTTGTTTGTTCTTGTCTTTCTCTTTTTTGGATAAATATGGTATTCATGATTTTCTAATTCTACTGTGCATTATTAGTATATTAGGTTAGCACCTGTGACCTAATTTGTCCTAAAGATTAGTCCTGTTGCCTTGAATCAACCATAAAACAAAGAAAATTTTGAAATTAAAAAGCGGGTAAGTATTATTGATTTGATCATTGAATCTTTCTGAAGGTTCAGATTATTTCTAGAAGAAACGGGGAGCTTTGTGTAAGTTCTACTGGTTAAAAATACTTGTGATGGAATCTTCATGTGTTGCACAGCTAATTAGACAGAAAAAAAATAGAATTCTTGGAAGTTGGAAATCAGCCTAGTAATAATACTCCAAGCCGAAGTACTCAGGTAGGAATGATTTCTTTTCTTTGATTAGAACGTACATATGGAAGAGAGTTTGGTAGCAATAAATGGGAAGGATCAGAACCCTGGTCTAGACCTTGCTAAAGGTTTTAGTGCATGACTGGCACGTCTTGTTGCTTTCTTATGATAGATTTTACTTTTTCTTACCTGTCAAAGAAGTTTGTGAAACTCAAAATATGATTCTTCCTTGCAGATACTTAGGGACCTGGGTGTACGAACGATGAAACTGATGACAAACAATCCTGCAAAATACAGTGGACTCAAGGGTTATGGATTGGCGATTGCAGGCAGGGTTCCGCTACTAACTCCTATTACAACGGAGAATAAGAGATACTTGGAGACCAAACGTGCGAAAATGGGACACGTATATGGCTTAGACTTTAATGGCCGTTTGAACAGTCTCATTATTGGTGGCAATGGTAACACCACTCCAGCGGATGCTGCAGCTGAATCCTAGGATCTGGCGCTTCCGGCTTGCTTTAGATGCTGCGAACTCCTTGCGGACATGATCCACTTAGTACAACTCACATGATAATCGGAAGAAGACACCATCTCCGAACTTGGTTATAGATATAAAAGATTTATTCTTTAAAAATTCAATGTTTACTTTGGCATTGCTAAAAGTAAAAAATTTATGCGGTTTCCTACCAAATACCATACCCAAGGAAGAGCCCTCCATTCTTTTTCTCTGACCTGTAAATTAAGGACAAAACAACTTCATTCCTAGAATTTGGATTTGCTTAACCTTGTTGAGGTCATGTTGTAATTTCGATTTTCTATAATAAATAGATAATAAAAAACTTTTACATATTTGCATTTCTTTTTATGTTTTCTCGTGTATTTACATGGACGAGTGAATTTTATTTTTATTTTATTTTCTTGGATAAGATAATTAAAATGGTAACGGACCGGTATTTCCAAACAAGTGGTCCCATCGTTCATTTCCCATCAGACTCTAATAGATCAGAAACCGTCAGATATTTCCAGTTCTCTACCGTTGCAAATATGTAAAACATTTAACAAATATTCAACAGTTGAGATTGCACTCGGATCCCAAATTGCGGGCCCCACCCCAACGGCCAAGATGCAAAGGACGAACTGGCCCGTTTATAGTCGTTGTGAAGAACAAAATCAAAGTAGAAAAGGCGCCAAAAGCTGCCACTGGCCCTTACCTTCCTTTAAAATTATTAAAGCAAAATGCGAAACGTTCGATTTTTTCGAGATCCGTGCCAGAACCAATCCAACGGTTACTAATGAATTCTTATCTCTTTATAAACCCTCATCTTCTCGCTTTCCTCGTAGACTCAACTCGCTCCATTGTTTAATTTCCTCTTTGAATTCTAACGCAATGGCTCTCTCCCGTTTTCTCTCCTTAGTGACAATGGCATTGCTGTTTTGCTCCGTTATAGCACAATCTCCAACGCCATCGCCTGTTTCGTCGCCGAAGAAATCGCCGTCGTCCAGTCCGACGCCAGTCTCTTCACCACCGACGGTGTCTGCACCGTCTCCATCGAAGACTCCGACAGCAACTGCACCCTCTCCCGTAACTGTTGAATCACCTCCATCTTCTTCACCGTCTCCGGCTACCAGTCCCTCGTCGATTGCCGAGACTCCCGCCGAAGCTCCAGGACCATCGGAAAATAGTGCCGTTTTAAACTTGAATAGGTTTGGTGCTGCTGGATCTGTTGCGTTTGGAGTGTTGACAGCCGTGATGATGGTGTAGGGAATATGAAGAGAAGATTACCCAGCTTTTTCCCCACAAAATGAGAATTATATCATTTTATGTATTCCCTTAAAATTTATAAAATTGATTCTTTAATTTTAAATATACCATTATTGTTTGCCACCGATATATGATTGTGTACTGTATTCATTTATTCCATGAGTTGAATTCTAAAACTAGTAATATTACTACAAACTTTTCCTCCTGTTTGTTTCATCGATACAAAAACAACTGAAAATAGTAGTGAAGCACAATTGATGAGCAAGTAGAGAAAATCAAAGGAGGTTTGATATATTAACAGCATTACGCAGGGAAAGTGCCAACACTTGACATTAATTTTAGCAGCCATAAAATTAAGAGCTTAACGCGGTTGGGTCACGCAAGGAAAGTGCCGACTAATGCTAATTTATTTGGTAAAGAAAGCAATTTTTTATTATTGAATCTCAAGGATTTATGATTAAGTTCAACTTAGACTTAAGTTAGTAGCTAGCTAGGACGCGGAGAGACAAAAGGAAAGCTTGCATCCTATTCCTCTATCTCCAAATCGACCAAGTCATGTTTGGCAAGCCAGTCCCCATCTATTCCTTACAAAATTTTATCCCCTCGTTTGGTTTGCTTTTGAGAAAGGAATAGCCAGTTCAAAAAGATATGTCTATTCTTTAAAATTTGACAAAAACTTAGAATAGCTAATATCACATTCTCCACATCTATGAGAATAAAGTCCTAACATTTTGGATTAAAATGTTTTTATTTACTTTCAAATATTACAAACATAAACTTATAAAATTAATATTTTAAATTAAAAATTAAATATTATTGATATTTTCATATTTTAATTATAAGATATTTAAATTATAAATGAAATATTAATTTTTAAATTATTAAGTGAAATTTAAATTAAAAATTAAAAAATGAAAATAGAAAAAATATAAATCCTATTATAATAAAAAGGTTAAGTTATTAATTATATATTATAAAATATTTTGAATTTAAAAATTAATTAAAAGTATTAATATCTTAATCATAATAATATTTAAATTATAAATTAAATTACCAATTATTAATATTTTAAACCAATTAAAAATTTTTAATATTTAAAAAATAAAATAAAAACAAATAATCATAATAACATTTAGATTATAAATATAATAGTAGTATTTATAATATTTATAATATTAATGATTAAACTATAAATAAAAATATTAATATTTTAAAAATTAATAATTAATTTATGAATAAAATATTATATATAAATGATAAATTATTAATATTATAAGTAAAATATAAATTATTAATATTTAAAAATAAAATAAAATAAAAATAAATAATCATAATAACATTTAAATTATAAATTGAATATTATTGTTTTTAATATTATTGATTAAAGTATAAATAAAATATTAATATTTAAACTATCAATTTTTAATATTTTAAATAAATTATACATTATTAATATTTAAAATAAAATAATTTAAAAATAAATAATCATAATAATATTTAAATTATAAATAAAATATTAGTATTTTATAATGTTAATGATTAGATTATAAATAAAATATTAATATTTAAAAATAATATAAAATAAAATAATCATATATATAATAAAAATATTTTTATCTTTTTATTTTTTATTTTTTTCTTATTTCAAATTATTATTACCAATCAAACATTAAAATAAATAATAATTATTCATACATTATTCCATTCGTTATACTAAATTAGAAAATAATTATTTTATTCTATGCTCACCTTACTCTATCCTTACATAGTAATTATTTTATTCTATTCTTGTTAATTTTGTTAACCAAACGTGCTAACAAGGGTTTTATTATGATCATTATTGATAAATCAAAATGATAAAGATTAAATCTCAATTCATTGTGACACAAAAATTTTTATTATTTGATGTCGTAATTAATAAATATCAAATTATGAAAGCAAATTTTTGATTAATGGTGTATAAACACTAATCAAATTTTTGGTCAAATATGTATGATTATTACTAGTACTAAAATTTATTTTTCTAGTTCTAGCTGTATGATGAGCAATTGGCCTGTGGGAAAAATGCTATAATTTGGGAACATGCCCTGTTTCTTTACCAGTGGACTGCACAAACTCGTCATGTTTGCACATGATGACATGTTATGTTTCTTCGAATTAGTGGTGTCCCCGACTCCCACAACGCATTCCCAAATCCCAATCGTCAAAGTAGATTTTCTCTACCGTCTGATCTCCCATTTCACTTGTTACATAAAAGAATCCAACGGTTGACAACGCTTCCCACCCTGTACATACGAAAGATCCAAATCAAACAAAACAACTGTACCTTAATGCTCACGCGTGAAGCCAAATCAAAACCGACCTGGTGGCTGGTTGGACTCTTTCTCAGCAATCACCCAAAAACCGTGTTTTCGAAATTTCGTCGCAGTTGGCCACTCATTTCTACCACTGATCCCCACTCTATATATAATCTTTCTTTTTCTCATGATTCTCGCATTGCACTCAAAACGTTCTACACCAATCTCTTTCTGGGTTTTCTCTTGTTTTGTTGCTTTTCAATTTCACTACGATGGCTAAGTCAACCATTTTTTGCTTCATGCTAATGGCTTTGTTGGTTTCGACCACGGCACAATCCCCTGCATCTTCACCTTCGCCAACCTCATTGCCACCATCAACTTCTCCACCAGTCTTTGCTCCTGTTCCTTCTTCTCCGACTCCTGCGGAGGAGCCACCGGTTTCTGCTCCTTCTCCGATGACGACTCCTCCAGTGGCTGCACCATCTCCCGCTAATGCTAACGTTCCTCCACAGCCTTCTACCGCTGCTCCACCAAACCCTCCGTCTTCAATTTCCACTCCACCATCTGTGGCTCCAGAGCCGTCGCACAACGGTGCCGTTTTGAACAGAATTGCTGGCTCAGGATATATTGTTTTTGGGCTGATCACTGCCGCTTTGATGACGTAGAGATTTGAGCGAAACATTGTGCTCCATTCTTTTATCAGTCCGCTTTACATTTTTGTTTTTCTCTTTTATTTTTCGATTTTTTAAATACATAATACATGAATTTTTATGTTATTTATTTACATAATAAAAAAATTTTGCCTTTTAATTTTTGCAATAATCAAAGGTATATCATTTTTTCAAGCGTTTCATATAATTTGTGGTGAATCAAATAACTCCATAGCAAGCATCTCAGCATTACTTTGCACACAAACAAAAAAAAAAATTGACCAAAAGGCATTGTATAGTTACTATAGTATATGCTAATAAAAATTAAAGGCAAAGGCATTGATTCCCTTTTGTTTGATAGTAATAAGAAAGAAGAAAAGAGGGGAGAAGCAAGGGGTAGGCCGAGGGGGTTCATTATGTCAGTGCCAGTAGCAAATTATATATTCCTTCATTAAAACGCAAATCTAAAGTATTTTTGAATATAAATCGAGTGGTGATTTTTAATTTCACATGTTTAACAAAAAAAAAAGTTCATAAATGAGTAAATTTTATTTTTAACAAAATAAAAAAAAAGCTTAATATTTTAAAAATCCTCTTAACTATTTAAAAAAAATTTAAACAAATTTTTTATTTTTTATTACGTTTAATTGAGCTTTAATTCTTTTACTTTAAATTAAATAAATTTTTATAATTAATGTTAATTAAATGTCAACAGTTTAAACATTATTTGTTGTTGCATAACATGTCACTTTACCGTTCATCACTAAATGTCAAAATATAAGTAACATGAAATATAAAATAACAAGTTATAAAAATTTATTTTATTTAAAATAAAAATATAAAAATTCAAGTAAATATAATAAAAAATAAAAATCAATTTAAAATTATGTTAATAATTTAAAGATATTTTTAAATACTATACCACCAAGGACTAAGAACATATGCAATCATATAGCCCACGCAACATATTTAATTCTACACGTTAATTTGTAATGGTAATCCTATTTGGGGCGAGTTTCCCGTTCTTCCCTAACATAGAGCCTTCAATTCCCGGTCAATAAAATTTCATTCTATGGTGGTGTCGCCCGTAAAACATTCAATTTGACGAAAATGGTGAGCAATCTTTCCAAGTTTTGAACAGCCTTACCTTTACGAATAAGGCAGGATATCAAGGGCCCAGATCACTTCCAATTTTCAGAAGAAAATCCCCCACGTCTACGCTGAGCTTTTATTTCCGAGAACAAAATTAAAAAAAGAAAGCCATATAAGAAAATACCCAAAGTCTTTTCCTCAGCTAGGCAAGGCACAAAAATACAAAAATCCTAGCCGTCCGATCCTTTGTTGCAAATTGATTTAAACCCTCGCTTCCCTCTATATACGAAGCAAAACAAACTGGTCCCAACTCACTTTCTTAGTAGTCGACTACCCTAACGTTCTTTAGTTCCGGTGTTTTTCCCTTTGCTTCTTCATTATGGCTCGTTCAAGCATTGTTTGCGTGATGCTGTTGGCATTGCTTTTCGGACTTGTTGCTGCACAATCTGCATCGCCGGCACCAGCTCCAGTTCATTCTCCATGTTCTCCTTCAACCAATCCGCCAGCCAATGCTCCAGTAGCCCATACTCCATCTTATGCGCCAAGGCATTCCGTCTACCCATCGGCTTCTGCACCCTCTCCCGTCGTCCACTCTGCCCCGATTAAGTCTCCTGTTGTGGCTACAACTCCATCGATTTCCATGCCACCATCTGATGCGCCAGCGCCAGCCGATAATGCTGCCGTTTTCAACCGATTTTCTACCTCTGGGACCGTTGCTATTGGTGTCATCGCTGCCATTTTGCTCATCTAGAGTCAATGGCTGGTGTTTTTTTGGTCTACGATTACAGAGAGTTCATCCTTGTGTTGCCTTCATTATTATTATTATTTTTCTTTTTCTTTTTTGAGTGCTTGGGTTTATATACAGTCGATTATTTGACAGTTAGACATTGATGGATCTGCCACTTCCGCTTGGCTTCATCTTATTTTCTTAAATGATATCATTCTGTTTCTGTTTCTGAGAATATTTTTCCTCAGTTATCGACAACAACGAATATGCAGTAGTAGTATCACTTCTAATATCCAATCCAGCTAAAAAACAAAAGGGTTAACATTAAAGTATCGTAGTAAAGCACGTGATGAGGCTTCAATTCATAGTTGAGATAGCAAATCTGCAATTTTGTTGTTATTCAAAGGAGTCAACCGGATTTTCATCCAGTCTCCCATCTTTCTCAGATTCTGATTTGGATTTTCTTTTGTCATCTCTTTCTCTTACAGCTTTTAATAAAGCACAAGTTCAAGGATTTGTACATTAACATTGTTTTTGTTTTATCGTTTTAGTTTGCTTTTCTTTTTTTCCAGACCCTTTTTATAAACTGTGATCCGTGTCTAAACGAACATTCTGTCGTAATTACCGTGACCCATGTGCCGGGAAACTGGGAATCGGAAGTCTCGGAAGCAGGACGTCCGGTCGTTTTTCTTTTGGTAAGTCTTTCGCTTACTTGGACCATGGAAATATTCAAGACTATTCTAGAAGAAAGAATTCTCTTTGGTTTTTTTTAAAAATAAAAAGTGTTACATTAGAAAAAATAAACGAAATTTTGTTCTTTAAATAAAAAGAAATATATATTCTTAATAGCTGGATTAAAATGGGTTAAAGCATCAATTGAACCATAGCTAAGCTTTCCAAGCCTTAATTTATCTTGAAATTCAATTAAATTAATAATATATAATTAATATATATTATTTGTAAAGGGATTTGGTATTTTTTTTTCTGAAAAGTAAACGGATTTGGTAACTCGGAGTTGGACACGTGGCATGTGTGATTACAATTGTATTTAATTAAATAATAAATCGTTTTTATTTTTACTTTTATTTTTTTTGTACAAGCATACATGTAAATTGTTTTTTTAAAACAAGGAATTTATTTTTGAGGAAAGATAGAAACAATTTTAACCATGTCTCTTTCCTTTTCTTATGTTTTCCGTATTTCTTCTATATAATTTTATAAAAAAGGAATAATTGATCATTAAAATATCACCTAATACTGTACATTCTAGAATAGTTGATTCAAAATATAATCAACCATATCAATTAATTTTTGTATTTTTTTATTAAATGAAAGTTCAATCCAAAGACACATTCACTTATACAATTGATTTTTAAAATTATCAAAATACAAAGTCCAAACAATATGTATTTGTCAATAGTAGTTAACATTAGGCAACGGTTTGAACAGGTTAAAAAGCAAGAAACGTGTAAATAAATTAGTTTCCTTGGCCTCCTTGCTTTGGCTTCAGGATCTTGTTAACAATGGGTTCAACCCAAGACTCCAGGCCATCCACGTCGTGCTTCAATGCCTCAACCTATATATGTTTAGCGACACAGATCTATCAACAACGGGCTTAAAGCATTTGCCAGATTTGTAATTTGACTTTACATTACTTAGATTTGCTTTTCCACAATCAATTGGAATGGAATTTAAGGCAAAAATAAAGAGAGGAAAAGACAATCCTAGTCAAGGTTAAGGTTGTATCAACTCCAAATAATACTAAATTAATTGACTGGCCAAGAGCAAACAAACTTTCCTTCAATTCGTTCATAGAGGGATATAAAAGGAAAAAAAAAAAGGGTATTCAAAGAGTGCACCACACTCAAAGCAACGATTTCAGATTAAGCCGCTGGGTCAGGTCAACCATTGACTTTTGGGACCTAGAAGGCTTTTCAGTTGTCCACACTTTTTGTTATAGATTATATTAATTTAGTAATAGTATTATTATAGAAAAACGAACAAGGGGACGGAGCGGTGGAAGGGCAGAGGCATTACCTGGTGGATGAATTCTGTTGTGACGTGAGCATCTTGGGCAGTTTCTTCTGAAACATGTTCGACCACCAGAGCTGCCTTTTTCAGCACGCTATCATCAGGAAGCTTGTCCGCCACCTGAGCTGATAACTTCTCTGCTGCTGTTGCTACCTTTTCCACTACTTCCGCTGCATTTTCAACCTCTTCGACTACCATTTCTGCTTCTCCTGAAATACATTTCAAAATTTGCAAGTAAATTTGATCTGCACTATACCTTCACCGGTCAAGTTTTGTGTAACTCTTATGCTATACTCTTTCCCAAATCTCTAGACAATTTTTTGGAGATGGGAAACCATTATGAATTATATTTATCCCATAACATGTACCTTCGATCCTCATCAATTTTGCCCATTTTTCCTTCCAGAAGTGCAGGGAGAAGCTCAGCACAGAGCCCAAAAAGCATTTGGCCCTGCATCAAAGCTCAAGTAAATTTTTGGTTTGAAACTTTGAATATCAAAGCTCAAGTGAGTTCATACCACAGGGAGAAGTTGAACTTTGGAGGAGCTGAACCGGGTGGTGGGCCACTCTTCCCCCTCTCATCCTTGGTACTACAGTTAAAACATATACATAGTTGAAGAGTTGTTTCATCAATGTCACAAACTGCTTAATGAGGATGATTAAATGGAAATTCATCAGGAAGATTTATACGACTAACATGCCAGCATCGAGATTTCTCCATAGTCCTATATTGGTGCTGATCAATCGCAGCCCTTGCTGCATAGGGAATCCATGTCGTTTAGCCATGCCCTCCTGCTGGAGGTGTCTTTGAGAGATGTTGCCTAAGTGAGATTTGTAAGGACGAAGAAGCGATTCAATGCAATTTTGCAGCCTGTGAGAAGCAGACCAACCTCTTGTAGACATCATCACCAAAATTTTGAGCAACCGAAAAGCTTAAGAGCAACGCGTAAGCTAAAAATTTTCACACCAAAGCTTTCTGCACATTTGGTCAACTAAGATATAGCTTTGCACCTGAACGAAACGCGTCTGACCTGTTCCTTGCAAGATCAGGCTGACTCGACTAAGCTTAAAGGGCAATCCACAGACTATTGCTTCTTCAACATTCTTACTTCCAGAATTGAGCAAAGCAACGAAATTGCTAAGCATGACTGTCGTTCCTTGCAAGCGCCAAACACTTACTAATTACGTATTAAATATTAATCCTAGTTGAGTATTTAAGTGTGATGCATCAGAACCCTAGCTAATAAGAACCTCGCATCATCTTAGTTTCTTTCTGTTAACGAATTAATTAATCCGTTTTAGGAAACTTTCGGATTTTTTATTGTCAAACTCTTGAATTTTTGCTCACGCTTCCTTGAATCCCCGTTCTTATCAAATTTGAAGATAATGCGTATACTTTTCAGCAAAAAATAAGATGATGCATATAATTGGTTAGGAAATTACAGAATATTTGAATAATTTAGTTAACAGAGAAATGGTTATTAAGTCAAATCATTTTTATTTAACAAACTTAGCCTTAGTAGACACAGAAAGGTCTATCAGCGATCCAATTAAGTTGTGGAACACGTTGCCAACCAATAACAAGGTCTGGCATTAGCCCAAGTTTAGTTCAGAAAAATAATTGCTTTAATCTAGTCCTCTACAAGCTGCATATGTTGGGATAAGCTTTTAGACGTTTTACTGGGAAAAAGGGTTGGGCCTGTGTATCATATCTCGCTGTTGTCTCTTAACATAGTACTATCAAATAGAAAAATCATAAAATCAAGGAAAATACAAAATTAGGAATTCTATTGACTGAAGGGTTATAGACTGATTTAATTCACTGCAGCTGGGACCCTTGGCGACAGTTAAAAGTCCTAACTTACTGAGTAGTATTCTGCAGGCTTGCGACTATAGGCCAAAATATCAGGGTCTTGCTGGAATTGAAGCATGTCGGCTGGTTCCAAGGTTACCCATGCTTCAATTCCACTACTACACCTGGTATCCATTAACAGAACCATTTCCACCGGCTTATGCCCACTTGCTACCCAAGTAGGCTTTCCCCAACCAAAATCAGCTTCATAATAGGGAAATTTGCACAGGCTAGTAAGGACGCAAATATCTGTATTTCCTTCGATTAGCTCTTCATGGATCTCTCTCGACGAACTAGTTGCAGACAATAACAAATCCTCAGCCCGTTCTGTTTTTGCAAAAAATTCGGCAGCGTGCCTTATTTCATTTCCCACTAGATTCACCAATTGGTGCAAGTCCAGCTTCCTGTCATTTGCTGTAAATCGGACAATGATATTCCTGAATAGGTTCCCTGCAGCATTCAGTGGTATATGTATGGCTGTTTTCCCACGAAAGTTATAAGGAAAGATTTGTAATGAATTCCTTAATGAACCGTGTTTTGCTTGAGCCAGAGCAATGCGAGCCTTCCACATGAGGGCAATCATCAGCTGCACTCTGGAAGGCTGCTGCTGGCTTTTAAGTCCTAAATCACCAGCCAAGGCAATGGCTTTAGCTTTGAGAGCAGATATAGCGGCTTCACTGAAAATAAATCTCCTAGTGATAAGCTTTTCTGAATTATCATCTGGGACTGGAATTTTATGCGTTGCTTTACACGTTGCAGGCAAAACGGATCCGCTTTCAAAGCTTAAGCATTTTACTCTATCTGCCCCTTCGCGGCAGGAAGTAGCCCATTCGTTCATGAAGGAGAACACTGTAAATCCATCGGTGAACTTGTGTGAAAGACTAAAACCAATAGCTAAACCACCACAAGCAAATTTGTTAATTTGAACCGCCAGGATTGTGGGAGTAAAGATGAGCTCATTCGGAAAAGGAACCAAATGGTTCAGCAATTCAACATCTAACTCTTCCAGGATAAATTGATTTAGATTGGCATTCAGTTGAGCTTCTAAATATTCTGCGCCTTGGTCGCTGCAATCAATGGCGTGCCTATCTTCAACGTATCTACCTGCTAGAGGGTAAAAGCTGGTTAGAACCTCTGACAGTGAATTTTCTAGTTTTTCTAGTCTTTCATTTTCGATCGAAGTGCTGATACAATTATCAGAGGGAAAGAAGTAAACGAAGGAACTGTATGTTGGAGGAGCAATCTGATCAAAGCATGATAACTCCAAGTCTCTGAGGTGATGTGGAGTTGGATTCGATGGCTTTATCAACTTTCGTGTTTGGATATGAACCTGCATTTTTACCTGCAACAGCAATGCTTTTGAAATTAAACATCTCTAATTTAAATGGGAAGGATTGGAGAAATGGTCTCTAAAGAAACCCCCATCAGTCAGTTGATGGAGGTAAGGTTTAAGGACATTCAGTTTTAAGCACCTCATTTATTCCAAGCGTTGAAACTCAAAACAGTTTTCAACTGACATTAATTTCTCCTAATTAACAAAAAATTTAATTACCTTCATACAACAATTTAAAAATTAAATCAAATATTTATAAGGTTAGAATATCTTATTAAATATTAAGATTCGAGTTAAAGTTCTTTACAAATAACAGATATTTACTCGTTAACATCTTTTCTTCATTTTTACTCTTTCTTAAAATCAAATATGATTTATAAATAGCATTTTGATATCTGTATCATGAAAAAAATTAAATTTCGTCATCCCAACTTACCCATGCTTAAATTGAAGCACTATTTTGAGAGTATGCATATCGATTCAAAAGCAACACCTGAACTAAGGTGTTCCCCTGTTTTAGCAGCAGAGGCACAAAATTTTTTCCATTCTGTTCCTGGCATTCAAGGCAAAAATTTAGTAATTATCATTAAAAAATTTTCCACTAACATGAGGTATCAATCAATAAAAAAGAAAAAAGAAAAAACATGAGTTATCGTCCATAATTATTATGAATATTTGAGTGGGATAATGAGGTATTCTTCCAACGGCTATCACTTACCAGAGATTAAATTTCAATTTGATGGTTTGCTCCAACAACTCAAGCTATCCTTGGTACCAATAGGTTATGGCCTCATTAGTCAAGCTGAAAGCGTAGAAAAAGAGAACCCAAATCAAAGGGCACCAATAGTTTGATGGATATGTTTGTTGTTTTTTTTTTCCTTTTGGTTTGCTTATATTCTGACAGTAGATTTGATTGTGTTGGTAATATCTTAATAATTAGTAGGAAAAATGGGAACATCTTAATTTTTGTAAGCAAAATATCCTCAAAAGAATTGGTACGTATGACACAAAGTCGTGAGTATTTTGATTCGACTGACGACCATATTGAAATTGTTGAAGAAAGAACCCTATTGAAAATTATTGTTAAGTTTCTCCAAAATCTCAATGAAAACAATTAAACAAGATTACGTTAATCAAATAAAAAATTAGTTGTAGATTTGAAAAAATTTACAAACCAAGGAAGAAATAAATTGTTAATTAGAATAATGAGCAATTGATTGGTCCCTTGATTGTCATAATTAGAGCAATAATTTAAAGAAACCCAAACGAAAAGGCACCAATGGTTCCGGGGCATTAATATGTTTTTTTCCCCCATTCATATCTTAGTTTTGGGATTTAACCAAAGTGCCAAGGTAGATAAGAAATATAGTGCAGCAAGACTTAGCCATGAAGGATATACTATTAATTTTTTGATAAGAAACACACTGGTAGGCTATAATGGCCTCAAGGATATAGTACTCTTTTGATGAATAAAACAAAAGGATGCTCGTCGTTGCTTCCAATTACCATCACCAAATTCACAAGCATCAGAGTATTCACCTACTCCTTGTACTTTTTTATTCAAAAAGTACCAACATAACTCAACTTCCAAGCCATGCATTTCATATTTTCATTACACATTACCTTTGAGGCCTTGCACCTTTGCGTCGTGCCCAAGACATTAGCTTTCATTTGTTCCTGCATCTATTCTCGGATTTGAGTGTGGAAAGGGCATTCATTTTATGATCAAGTTGAAAATTGGGATAAAATCAAACCAAAGTTTGAGAATCTATTACTCTATAAACTTTTAATGTCATATATATATATATATATATATATGTTTCTTCACTCAAATAGCAACTTTGAATCCTATTTTAAGAATGATTCGTTTCATTTTTTTCCAGCTTCATATATACATATATAACACAATCCACCAGGCAGATCAAATTAGGAACAAATGGTTGAAACTGAATCATAGTAAAAGTCATACCACATACATATAAATTTTGTTTTAGGTTACTGATTCACTTGGCCATACATTTGTGATTTGTCCAACGTACCTCTCTTTTTCATGTGTCTAATTTAAATTTCCATCTACATTAACGACCAGGTCAAGCTTACATTAAAGCCTCCTGTTTCCGAGCTGCAAACTGTTAGATGTCATTATCATAAGCGATGCAATTTGCCAAAATGCAACAATCAAAAGCAAGTTGGATATCTCCAATTACGACTTCCAATGAGAATAGGACCCAGTATCACCGGCAATGCCATTGTAATCCTTAATTCCGATTTTATTTATTTATATTAAAATTAAGATAGTTGACAAAAAATAATTACAACTAATCAAAGTAAGCCTTTAATTGATTACGTGAAATGCATTTTGTGAAATGGAAGACAGCTAATTGATTTCCTTCCTCTCGTCCCCACCGAAGGAAAAAAACGAATACCCACTTCTCTAAAATGTATGTTTTATACTCATTATAAAATCTAAGGTGTGGGAGAGTTTATGGTTGCATGAATTGTTTAAGTCTATGGTTGCTTTCAATATGTATTTTAATTTTCTTTTGTAGCACAATAGAATATTAAATCCATAAGATTGGGGTGGAACTCGTTTTATTGACTAAACTTGCTCCTTTCTCATAACATTGCTTATTTAAAGAAGAAATATAATTTTCTTTTGACTGTTTTCTTAATAATGAGATTTGTTGCTCATATCAATGTGAAAAGAGCCAAGGAAATTTCCTGGGTTGGGTGGTGCTTACCGTGGGGGTAATGCTGATATTTGGCATAAAACCAAGGACTTATGAAAAGGATGACAAGACATATATAGAATCCAAAGGAGCATGTGCTTTGTCTTTTGTTTAGACTTCATACAAATAGCATGAGTTTCACCAGATTTGTTTTCATCATATTTATGATAAATTGGCATATTGTCGTTTATAACAAAGAGATAAGGTAATTGCATTTATGAGGACAAAAAAGGTGCATCATTGAGGTAACAATTGTTTGTTAAAAAATTAGTGTTGGTGCCAAAGAAAAATGTCAAAAGGCTTAAGCAATGAACTCCTTATGAAAAACCCAAAACTGATTTATTTGTATGATACACTAATATTGAGATATGATTTGCACTTTTCTATTATGTTATAAAGTGGATTAATTAGAGTAATAATAAAAAAAATAGGATAAAGGACATTGGACCTATAAACAATTCAACCACAAAACAATCAATGAGGAATCCAATCATCAGCTTCTGCCAGGAGTGGATGCCTCTCTTACTTCAGAGTAATAAAAGAAAAGGTAAAAGGGCAGCCGATGTTTGTTTGTTTGGCATAAAGTTTTGCCTCTCTCCATGTTTATTTATTAGCAATGATCAGGCTTGGGCTCGGCTCAATGTTCTTGACTCAAACTTGCCACTACCAGTCCAGCCGCCATGACAACCAAAATACAAGAAAAGTCAGAAACAACGGCAGAAAAGATCAAACAAACAAACAAACAGAAAGTCATATATTCTATTCGTCATTATCTTTTTTTCAAACTTTTCCTTCCACGAACTAAAGCAGTTGTGTGATGCCACCAACAACTCCCGTAGTTTTCTCCTCTTTCTCATTCACCAACAAGGTACCCTCTCCCTCTCTCCTCTGATATCTTCCCTTCTGCTTCCTGCCATCGTTTCTCTTCTTTGCTTTTCTTTTGATGTTTGATCTTTGCTCCCTTAAATGGGTTTTCGACATAGAAAGTTGATGTCTGATTCACCCAATGAAACCTTATCAGATTACTGTAGGGATTGTTACCAATATGACTCATGTCCCTCTATCTGTTACAAAGGCCTATACCCTCCTCCAGTCCCTGTTCCTGACACCACTTCTCATACGAAGACAACCAGCAAGTTGTTGATCGTAACTTTCACAGTTCTTGCCACAGCTTTTCTAGTTCTTTGCTATTATATTTACTATGTCAGGTTCTCGAGAGGCCGGTCGATTGCTAGGAGGAGATCACAGCCCCAAACAACTGAAACCCGTGATGAATTCCTTGATGAAGATCGTGGTCCAATCATTGACCATCCCATCTGGTACATCAACACCGAAGGGCTGCGACCATCTATCATTAATTCCATCACGGTTTGTAAGTATAAGAGAGGTGAGGGCCTTGTTGAAGGAACAGAGTGCTCTGTTTGCTTGAACGAGTTTGAAGAAGATGAGACTCTCAGGCTGTTGCCAAAGTGTAGTCATGCTTTTCACATCCCTTGCATTGATACGTGGCTAAGATCGCATATCAATTGTCCGATGTGCCGGGCACCTATTGTCTCCAACACGGTTAATAGAGGACCCTCATCGTCTGAGGTAAATACTGAAGATTCAGGAGTGACTGAGGAAACCCAAGTGATAATTATGGAAGATGATGGAGAACAACCTGAGAGAGAAACTGAAGGTGGAACTAGGGAAACAAGGGTTAGACCAGAGCAGGAAGAGGAATTAGCTGTTGAAAATGAAAGAAAGACAGGTGAAAGTTCCGGAGTAGAGGATGGGATACAACCTATGAGAAGATCAGTTTCATTGGATTCCCTGGCAGCTTCCCAAATCAGCCACGCTATTGCTAATGGTTTTCCAGAGGGATCTAGTGGGAATTCAGATAATGAATTGGCCAAAGGGAAAGAATCGAGCGTGAGAATTGTTACAAGGAGAGCTGCAGGAAATCAAGGTTTGCTAAGGCTGATGTGTCATTCTTCTATAGGTAGGTCATTGCAGAGTAGGCCAATTTTCATGAAGAGGTCAGTTTCTTGCAATGGGAAATTCACCTTGCCACTATCCAACAACAAGGACCGCAACAAAAATCCTCCTTTGAGAAGCTTTTGATCTTTGCTGTGTGCATCTACTTTCAGGTGAGGTATCTGAAACTGAGATGTCTTGGGAACTCCTCAACAAGCTGAGGGTTTTCTATAAGTTCTTTTTTCTTTCTCTTTTGAAAATAGAAACTACTGTGATTTCCAGAGCCTCGATAAATATAGATGATGCCAAACTTGTATAATAATACACAGAAATGAGATTCATCAAAAAGGGGATTCTGTTCTGAAGGGATAGCTTTTGCGGCTTGTTGCAGCATCAGTTTTCGATAGAAAACATGCAATTGTAAGTAGAACTTTTGAGACTTTATGATTATTTTATCTTCTTGTTTCCCAACAATTACCGCCCTTGCTACGTGAGAATAGACGTGTAGAGGGGCAAATTAGTCTGGGTCTACAAGAGAAATGTCTCAGTTTTCGCATCAATCTTATCTGTTGCCAGGGGAGCCAATGCAAATGGGCCTTTGGCATGCCTGCTTCAGTCTTTTAATCCAGATCTTTGGAAAGGTTTCAGTTGAAGATTGTCCCTGGAAATGAGACTTTGGCCTAGAGGGCAATTAGATCAAGCTGTGCCTTCTCTTGTGGAAAATTGTTGGATTCTTGATGATGTATGTCTACCATTTCATGTTTTACTATAAATTTTTATCTGTGACACGAATGAAATATGAAAATAATGCCTTTATAAACTACAATGAACACTTAAGCATTTGGTTCATTAATTGGTACATTATCCCTTTATCTAAAGAGTAGAGTGTGAATTCTTTTCTTTCAATTATATAACAAAAAAACTACAATGAAGCATGCAAAAAATGCCCTTTTTGAAGAACATGGTCTAATTCGTGCTCAAGTATACTTCTATACATCTATCAAATAAATAAGAAGTTTGTTTACAGAAACCAGTGAGTTTTAAGTGCATAGTCCAACTCCCTAGGAAATATGTTGACGGCCGAAGAAGAACTGAGAAGGAGTGTGTTCTGTAGTTCCGGCATGTTGGGACAAGTGAATGAGGCCACATAACTGGTTGTTCGCTAGGTACAGAGTCCTGATATGATTATCTCAAAGGCAATCTTAAAAAACTGAGAAACCGAATCTTCAAAATTGTCAAGGAAATGAAGGAGCTCTCAAAGGAGAGCAAGTGTGACTATAGATTCATTCAGTCATCACGATGAAAGCCGTGGAGACATCAATTGCTTGTAACAGCCTTTGGGTAGCCAAGGTACAAAACCACACCCGCTTAGAACTTCTCTAAGTGTTGAATAAAAACTAGAGACCTTCTTTGTTTGCATTTAAAACTAATTTGAACTCTAAGTTTGAACAATTTATGGTGATCTGCAAATATACAAAAAGAAAATAATAAAAAAAAACCCCCTCAAGACTGCATCAGCATGAGAGCAAATTTCCCCTTCAACAATTAGAGCATCTCTAACTGCGTATCCATTGGTTGGGTTATTGAGATGAGCCAGCGCTAGAAAGTAACGCTAACCCCTCGTAGGGGCAACTGCACAGAATCTGCTGTCAACTCCCCAAGAGAAAGGCCTACCATGAGAGATTCCTTCTTTTCTCGGAAAGAAAATTCAATGGAACTGTATGTTAAATAAACGAACTTTAACACCATTGAACCCCATGAGATGAGCGTTTCAGTGGATGAAGTTTTATTCTGGAGGGATTTTCTCAAGGTCTTTTATTTTTATTTTTTTTAAAAGTAGCAATTCATTAAATTTCATTCATCAATTTTGTAAATGAGGAGGCAAACAACCTCCATATCACCTGCACCAGAATCCCTGCCGCAAAACCACATTTACACCCCCACCTTACAGGCAACACATCCTTAACCAATGCCAATCCACTATATCAAACATAAAACAAAAGAGACCTCTGTACAAAATATCAAATTCATTCACATGGCATGAAATTCATCAGATAAATCAACCAAACACGTGAGCAGAAAACTCCCCTGAACAGCTTCATCCGCAACCATCTCTGTTTTCGCTTCATATTTAAGCCTTTTGTACCTCAGCAGCACGTCGGCATACCTTCTCAAGGTCTTTTATTCCTCGTAAGTCTTAACTCACTTAACAAGCCAGCTGCCTTCAGGTATTATCCTAGCCAGGTCGCTTCATCATGACTTCAATTGATACAAGGTCTAGAAAATGAATTTTAGAGGAAAGAATGTAGCAGTATACCCACAAGTCTAGGACTTGGAATATTAGAACGCATTTCTATGGAATTGTTAACTAAAAATTGGAAAACAAGGAAGAAACCTTGGCATTCATATATGAGCAGTGATAATTCAGCCCTTATATGTTGAAGCCTTAGCAATACCAACCTTGACTAAATCTAATACAAGTTTCTTTTTTCCACCAATGTTGTGAACATAATGAAATTGCTTAAGAATACAGCAATAAGCAAGGGAGATACAGACACGACCATGAATTTGGGAAATGGTTTTCAAATCCACCATGTCCACAGCCAGAACTGGCAATAGGGTTGCCCCTCATCCAGATCCTGGTCTTTTGACTCTCCTAATACAAAATGAAATCGGGGGCCTTGGAGTGTGGCACAAGGGGAAATGGGTCTTCCTCAATCCAATCCCCAATTCATTTCTGGATAACACCGGTGATCATAGTGAGGCTCATTGTCAAGTTCTTATCACCAATTTTCCCTACACTTGTCCTTTTCTTTTTCCTTCAACAAAGTGCCATTAATATCCTACAAGGATATCCATGGGCATGCAACATGGAGCAGCACTTGATGAAGTTGTTGGAAAGTGAGAGCAATCCACCGGTACACGCTTCAGAAAAGCAACACGCTTGACCGGAAATCTTGCTTGTAACACTTTCGAATTAGCACCATCTAGTTACTTAAACTAGCTTTCGTAAAATCGTTTTAATTTATTATACTTTCAAGGCAAATAAGCAACTGCTTCCATGCTCAAAATATTAGCTTGTTGCCATGATTCTGCAATGATATATCAAAAAAGGCCAGGCAACTTCCTTCTATTTTTTTTTTTTGCCCAATTTCCTTTATTTTTACTTTTTTATTTTATTTTTATTCTTTAAAAATTTTTATAAAGTAAATGTCAATGACAAAAATAAAATAAAAATTGATCAAATTATCAAAATATAATAGTACCAATTTTAGCGGCAAAACCATATAATTTATTCTTTTTACAAAGTTACTATACTTTAATTATTTGAAAATATTATTATTAATTTTTAGACCGAAACATATTATTTATTTTCTAAATTAAAATATAAATAATGGAAAAAAAAACAATTTCTTGCTTTCGCAGCAGCCACAAATTAGAGGTAAATACATGTACATAAGTATCCGGACCAGTTCCATGACAATCCGCCTACAAGCACCGTGTTCGGAGTCTCAGTCTCCGTCGATCTCCATGGCTGCCAGTGCCCCGTTCCTTTCCCAACCCTCGCAAGCATCTCTTACTTACACACCGCCAAAGCTAACAAGTATCAAATCTCTGGCTGAATTGCCTGGTCTTACTTCCATCCCTCCCATTTACACCTTCCCAACAAACCCCAATGATCAATCATTTTCAGCCGCAAAAGAATCTATCCCCACCATTGATTTCTCTCAACTTACTTCCAATAACCCTGAAGAACGCTCTAAAGTCATCCAAGAGCTTGGAGAAGCTTGTCAGGACTGGGGCTTCTTCACGGTATATATATATTATAGCATACTAGTTCTTGTCTCCTTTTTTAACTTTTGTTCAGTACGCTTTGTTTTGTTTTCTTTCTTCTTTGGTTTTAGTATAAGCTATGAGCATCTCAGGTGATAAATCATGGGGTGCCGGAGAGCATGATGAAGGCAATAATTGAGGCGTGTAGAGGATTTTTTGAGCTAACGGAGGAAGAGAAGCAACAATTTGAAGGGAAGCATGTGCTGGACCCCATTAGGTGTGGTACCAGTTTCAATGTTTCAGTGGATAAAGTTTTATTCTGGAGGGATTTTCTCAAGGTCTTTCAGCATCCTGAGTTTCACTCACCCAACAAGCCAGCAGCCTTCAGGTTTTGATCCCAATTAGCTTGGTAACTTACAACTAATACACGGTTCAGAATGAATCCTAGGATTAGAATAAGCACAGAAGATGGAATTCAAGGAATCGGCCAATTGGGTAACAAAACAACAGTAATCTTGTCTATATCTCGGTCATCTAGACTACTATTATTTTGTTACCCTGGATTCTTTTAGTACTTTTTATTTGATCCTTTTATTTTCCTTTCTGATGCGTGAATTGATGGATTGTTATTGAATCTCATTTCAAATAATTGGAATCATGCTCGTGCTGTTTCCTTAGCCATTGCAACTGCAATAACTTAGCTAAAACAAGTTTTGTCTGAACGTTTTTGGATACAGTGAAATTGCTTTAGAATTCAGCAAAAGAGTCCGGCAACTAGCAAGAATAATAGTAAGAGGAATATCTGAGAGTTTGGGGTTAGAGGAGAATTATATTGACAAGGCCTTGAATTTGGAAGATGGCTTGCAAGTCCTGGCAGCCAACTTCTATCCACCATGTCCGCAGCCAGAGCTCGCATTGGGATTGCCTCCTCATTCGGATCACCGTCTTTTGACCCTCCTAATACAAAATGAAATCAGGGGCCTTCAAGTGCAGCACAAAGGGAAATGGATCAATGTCAATCCAATTCCCAATTCATTCCTAGCTAACGTTGGAGATCAAATTGAGGTGCGCTCCTAAAATCCTAAGTTCTCGTCCCCATGTTTTGTTTTTGCCTCTTCTTCAAAATAGTTTATTTTGTTCTTATTCGAATATGATATTAACTTTTCGCAAGATTTTGAGTAATGGGAAGTACAAAAGTGTTCTACATCGAGCGGTGGTGAACAACAAAGATACAAGGATATCCATAGCCATGCCGCATGGACCAGCACTCAATGCAGTTGTTGCCCCAGCTTCGAAGTTGCTGGACCATGAGAACAATCCACCAGAATACAAAGCAATGAAATATAAGGATTATTTGGAGCTTCAGCAGAGCAGCAAGCTTGACGGGAAATCTTGCTTGGAACGTCTACAAGACAAAACAGTTTAATTACCACAGTCTGTACACTTATCTTTTGGTACAAAACTCCATTAGCTAAGGTACTTTTATTAGTACAAACATGTGACAAGAATAAACAACTAGTTTGTGAAATTTGTACACTTCTCTTTTTATGTATAAAATAATAACTCATATATATAAGTCAAATTCAAGCGATTTAAGTTCAACTGTTGTATTGGAATTTTATGGAATAAAATGAAAATAAGAATCAAAATTTACCAATCTATTTTATGCTACGGAATCCTTTGGGCTAGGTCCGTTCTATTGTGAGCTGTAGGAATACTTTGGGACACTTCGCAGAGCAAGCACCGAGTTGATCCAAGCTGGCTTTTGTTAACCTGTAATGCTCGCATCCACGTGGACATGAAGGCATATGTAATCCACTAGGATTTGTGCAAAAAGTGGACTCTTTTGCTTAAAATCTGTGCCACTACGTGCTAAGCTGCATGAAGCTGTTTTGTTAAATGCTTTACACTTGTTAATGGATCAAGAACAAGTGTTAGTGTTCAATTAATGTTGTATCACTTGATAAATATGTGATTTTCTTATCAATGTGAATGTAAGACCTTTTTCGTTAATAACAAAACAACTCCTCTGTTCTACCGTCCTTTAACAGAGCATTATTCTTCCTTGTTGTTAACAGCGTTGCCAGCCGCCGAGCGGATAGTGTTTTATGACGAGAATATTTTATCCACATTGCCGGTCACTGTTCAATGCTCAGCAGTGAGCACCGACGTGTCAGGCTTTTCACTGCTTCAGATTTCAAGAAGCTAAGGGTTAGCTTCAGTGTTTGTGATTTCTGGGTCATTGTGTTCTTCACTGTTACATAATAATGCCATTTTGATCTTTCCTTTTCAATTCTACTGATTTTCATGATCAAAATTACTGTGTTTTACTCGTCATGTTCAACCAAAACAATATTTTCTTGGTACGAATACGAGACAGTTGCTTGAGCACCGTCCAATTTGCTTTGACTCTGTCCTCCTCTTGCATTGAACAGTGGGCACCATAAAAATTTGTGGTTTTTATTTTTTCACTACATTTTCTTCCACATCTTCGTCTTGAAGGTTCATCAGGTTGAGCTACTTCTAGTAGTGCCTGTTTCCCATTACAAAAGGCTGTGATTGTTGATGGAATCGCATCTTCATCTTATCAGTGGAAGGTAGATTATGGATAGGTACTGTTGTTCTTGCTGATGATAAATAGAATTTCATTTATTTTTTTATTTAGTTTTCTTTTTTTGAATTTAGGGAAGAGGATTTGAATCTTCCTTTTAAGCGAGGAGATCATGCAACAATGAATGAGCCAAATGCTCAAATGCAGCATAATTTCATTTAGTTAACTCTGTCTGTGATTGCATGTACCGATTAAATATTGATTCTTTCTTACTAAACTCGCTCCCTAAGTTGAGAAAAGGAATCCATGGTACAACTTATTTTATAAATTGCCTTCATGTCTTGGTGTATCAACTTTGTTTTACTTGCTATATACGATTTAAACTGTCACAATCTTTCTTTTGGAAAATCTTGTAGAACATAAACACTAGGCTAAAGATGGGTACTCGCACTAGCAACGACCAAGTGCCCTACAAAGAGGAGAAGATGAGTAAAGGCCTGAAGAGATCCTTGCTCGTGTTGAATTGCGCACTGTTAGCCTTGGGAAATGTTGGTGGCCCCCTTATAATGAGGCTCTACTTCTTGAAAGGTGGTAAGGGAGTTTGGACATCAAGCTGTTTAGAAACTGCTGGCTGGCCATTTATGGTAATGCCTCTCACATTTTCATACTTGTATCGTCGAAGAAAGGAGGGCCCTGGGACCGAGCTTTTCTTCATTAAACGTCCTTTGTTTCTGGCTAGTGCTGTCTTAGGCCTTCTTACTGGCGTGGATGACTTTTTGTATGCTTATGGTGTTGCTCGCCTCCCTGTCTCTACCTCAGCTCTGATAATTTCAACCCAATTGGCCTTTACCGCTGCGTTTGCCTTTCTATTGGTCAAGCAGAAGTTCACATCTTTTACCATCAACTCAGTTTTTATGTTGACTGTCGGAGCAGTGGTTCTTGCACTTCATACAAGCTCAGATCGCCCAGCAAATGAATCCAACCTACAATATTACTCGGGATTTTTTATGACACTTGCAGCTTCAGCGCTCTATGGATTTGTGTTACCGGCGATTGAGTTAACATACAAGAAAGCAAAGCAGACTATTACTTACTCTTTGGTGATGGAGATGCAAATGGTTATGTCATTTTCAGCTACCGTTTTCTGCACCATTGGGATGCTTTTTCACAAAAGATTGAGGTCATATCTCCTTCCTTCTATCAAATAGTCCACCACACCCACTCCCTTGTATTTGCACCATTCAAAGTGGTGTTATGTGTATTCATATCAGAAACAGGCCTCCCCTTACAAACTTTTATTACGTTTGATTTCACGGATGCTAGTTCTGAATAACTTCTTGCTCATTGTAGGCAATTCCAAGAGAGGCAAGTAAATTTGAGCTAGGGCAATCAACATACTATCTGGTAATCCTGTTGAGTGCAATCTTATGGCAGTTCTTCTTCATGGGAGCTGTTGGAGTAATTTTCTCTGGCTCCTCACTGCTGTCTGGCATAATAATTGCAGCTCTGCTTCCGGTGACAGAATCTTTGGCTGTATTGTTCTTCCATGAAAAGTTCCAAGTTGAAAAAGCTATATCCGTTGTGTTATCTCTTTGGGGGTCTCTGTCTTACTTCTATGGTGAGCTCCAAGAAAACAAGAAAAATCAAGCTTCGGAAACAGAAATGGCCTAGTATTTACTTCCTCGCTTTCAAATGAAAGTACTTGTCTGTATATTTGCTTCCATATTTCATGCATAGATTAAGCTTCTGAACCACAATTCAAGATGTTGTGGCTATTAAATCAGTATCTTTGTATAATATTATATAAAGTTTATATCTCAAGAATCATACTGTTGTAATAAGAACTATTAGAATGAGTAAAACAATTATATTACTATGGACAACAGTGAAAGTAATCAAAACTAGTGATAGGATTTACGAAATAATTTCACTTTTTGAATATTTTAAAAAAATTTAATTTTATAATTCAAATGTGAAAATACTTAAAAAAAAAAAATCTTTCTCTTAATTTTTCTGTTTAGTACCAATGTCTTTCTCTTTTCCTCTTCCCTCAAGAGCAAGTGACCTACTCCTCAATATACCATCTCCCTATTCTCTACACTTTGTCCATCACCACTTGACACAACATTCATGTTTAGAAGACTGTTCCAATCTTCCTCACTATTGTTTATCAATACATTCATTTTACTTGTTTGTAACATTATCTCTCTCCTTATTACATCATCTACATTTGGTCAATTTTACCAACAAAGAGCACCCACGTTAAGTAAAACCCCATTAAACAAACTTTGCGCCATTAGAGGATATAGAAAATTCCATTAACAACCAAGGTGCATTTACACTCGCCGATTTCCAAGGTTTGATGTCTAAGCTTATCAAGAGAGGATGCAAATATTGAAAGACAACACCAAGCAGATGATGGAGATGATCTCTCCATCGCAATATTCATCGCTTCAAGTATTGCTCTAATCTTTTTTCCCATCACCTCCCAACACATTTGTTTTAGTTATTTGGAATACTACCTCTTTCTTTATTTCAAAAGAACCCCTTTACAATGTCCCCTGTATATTTTAAATTTTTTGTGATTTTTGATAACTTTGAAAGTCACATTTTGAGAGGAATGACATGAAAGTTAAAATGCTTGGGGTATTGGATATAACACTAGACTGTTGCTAAGTACTTTTGTTGTGAATCAGGGTAACATTAATCTATGGTGTAGTGGAAATTGGTTAGAAGAAAGTTAACAATAATCTCGGGTGATTAAGTTAGAATGCTGTTAAAGTATGATAAGTGGTTATAATAGTTATAAATAAAAAAAATCTTAAAATGTTATTCGAATATTTTGATATGTGCATGTTGTTTTATAATTTACAAATAAAATATTTTAGAAAGGAAATTGAATTAAAAATATATACACTTATTTTTAATTGAGTTATAAAGGGAAACAAGACATGTCAAATAAAAATACGAAAAAACTAAAATAAAAATTTACATTATTAATGGTTGTGTTAAGATCATTGAATTTTGTGTTAAGATCTTATATTTTTATTTTAGATTGAATAAGTTTTTATGATTAATGATTGATTAATTATTATTAATCAAAATATCATTTATCATTTTATATGTACATGATACTCACATGACGTTAACGTGGAAAGTAAAAAAAATTTTATGATAATGTTATCATATCAAATTAATATGTTACGTAATTATCAATTATGATATAACAACATATTACATTATTATTAATTAAAATACATTAATATATCATATTAGTGCAAAACTACATAAAATGACAAATAATATTTGAATTGGGTTAATCATTAGTTGTAAAAGTTATTTAATTCAAATTAAAACTTAAAAATTTATTAGACTTAAAATAAAAATATAACACTTATTTATAATTTTTAAAATAATTTATAAATATTATATCAAATTTGTACTTCATTACACAAAAATGAGATATGAGATAAACCCCAAAGAGAAAGTCCAACCCAACACAGCCCAAGTAGCCAGAGTAACTAACCAAAGATCTTGGCTAAGCTGTACTGTACTCGAGAAAAAAAAATTGAGGACAAGCTAAAGAGAGAGCTGTATCAATTTCAATGGCGTCGCGCTCCCTCTTTCTCAGTCTCAGACGGTAATTATCTTTACTACTATCATACTTTCCCAATTTAAAGCAAAAAAAGAGGGGAGAAATATTTTAGACTGAACCCATTACAAGTCTCCGTAGCATTCTTTAAGTTGGCGGGTCTTTTGTTTCACCAAGATTAATTCTTCAAAATTGTGAAATATATATATGTAGGAGAAGCAGCAATTGCAGTTTGTCAAGGCTGTTGTCGTCGGGCGCCGCCAGCACCGAATACGTGGACGAATATTTGAATAATTCGGAAACCGATGATCTGAAAAGCCGCATTTTTCGGCTGCGGCTTCCGAAGCGGAGCGCCACTACCGTAATCGAGAAATGGGTCGGTGAGGGCAACCGAGTTTCCATTTCTGACCTCCGCCGAATCTCTAAGGAACTGAGGAAATCCCAGCGTTTCAAGCACGCTCTCGAGGTACTCTTGCTTCTTTCTTTTCAAAGAAATTTTCCATATTTTAGTAATTAAAGTCAATTAGAGTGAAGTTGAGATTTTTATGTGCTGGGGTGGCTTTGTTTTACCCTAAAAACTGGTAGTAATACTTATTTAGTTTGATATTCCTGGATGAAATTTTTCTGTTTTATCAATTGTTACATTAGAGGTATAATGCTTGATTGGTGTAATTTATTTGAAGAATCAGTTAAATTGTTTAGGTTCCATTAGTTTGAATTGGCCAATTGGGGTTATAGTATTGGTTAGGAATGTTATCAAGTAGCGAATGGTCTAATTTAGAAAGGAATTGATTGAACGAAAATGAAAAGGATGTGTCTGTGGATAAACACAAGACGGAAGAGAGAATGTTTGGCCGTACCACAGCACTGGAGTTTCTTGTCATGTCAGCAATGAATAAGTAAATGTTGTCTTCTCTAGGTATTAAGACTTTGTCTTCTCTATTTGCAGGCTTGCTTGTGAAGTCTCTATTTACCTCTTTTGTTTTGCACTTGGTCACTTTCTCTGATCTAATGTAATGGGAGAACTTGCTTTTCACTCCCACCGTCAGCTCCAACTAAGTTAAATTGATTGATATCATATCACACTTTGTTGCTTCTGCTGTTTTTTCAGTTATAAGAGGACATATATTGAATGTTGATCATGATGGGAATTTTATAATTTGCATTACGATTAGCAAGAATTCTTTGGGAGTGTGAAATAAAAAGGTCCTACATCTTCATGTGTCTAGGCAAACTCAATCTCTTTTTCCTGTTTTCTTTGAATTTCATTATAGCTTGAGTTGCAGCTTGGAACAGCTGGGTAGTTTCTTTTCTTTTCTGTCTTTTTTGAAATAACTTTTAGTTGAACCTTTTGCGTTCAAAGAGAGGAATATCAGAAACAAAGTTTCATGTCGCATCTGTATGAAAACTTCATGCCTTACAGTTTGTAGAGCCCTTAGTTTCACAGATAGGATTGATGGTGAATTCTTTCAACTTATCAATTCAAGCTTGCAGATATCAGAATGGGTGGTTACTCATGAAGAGTACAAGTTATCAGATTCTGACTATGCAATTCGTATTGACTTGATGACAAAAGTTTTTGGTATTGATGCTGCTGAACGCTATTTTGAAGACTTGCCTCCTACTGCAAAGACTAGTGAAACCTACACTGCTCTTCTCCATTGTTATGCGGCTGCAAAATTGACTGAAAAGGCAGAAGAACTTTTTGAGAGGATAAAGGGGTTGGCCTTGTCAATCTCTGCCCTTACATACAATGAGATTATGACTCTTTACATGTCAATTGGGCAGGTGGAGAAGGTTTATTTGGTCGTGGAAGAACTGAAAAGGCATAAGGTCGCACCAGATATCTTTACTTACAATCTTTGGATAAGTTCATGTGCTGCGGCTCTGAACATTGATCAAGTTAAAAGGATTCTGGATGAAATGAGATGTGACTCTAGTTGCAATGATGGTTGGGTGAGATATATTAGCCTCGTAACTGTTTATGTTAATGCTAGCCATCTTTCAAACGCGGAGTCCAGCTCTCCTATTGAAACAGAGAAACGCATCACACAAAGGGAATGGATAACTTATGACTTCCTTGTTATGCTGTATGCTGGCTTGGGAAACAAAGATAAAATTGATCAGATATGGAAATCACTAAGAATGACCAAACAGAAAATGACAAGCAGAAATTACATATGCATTTCTTCTTCATATCTGATTCTTGGGCATTCCAAAGAAGTGGGAGAGGTTATTGATCAATGGAAGCAGTCTAACACCGCAGACTTTGATATCTCTACCTGTAATAGGATTTTGACTGCATTTACAGAAGTTGGGTTGACTGAAAAAGCCCATGACTTACATTTGCTTCTGATTCAGAAAAGCTGCAGCCCTACAAGCAAGAAAAGTTATATTGGAGTCTAATGTGGCTAGGGAAGAAAATTTGTGAGGTCACCTCCATGAAGGCTGGACTTCAGGAAGAAATCATACGCGTGCTCGAAAATCTTGTAGCCTTGCCTTGTACTTTGCAGTTCCAAGATATGGCTGACTTCGGTACTGGTGATGGGTTTTTGACACCCATTTTATGAAATGTAGGATCCATGGACTCTTAAAATTTAAACTATTTGCCTCTTGCGTAATTTATAATCAGGTGAATTGCATGCTCTCACAATAATTAATGAATGAAGAAAATGAACACCGGAGTTTTATAGCTGCTGCTTGTTTTGATCATTATGTAATGCACACGCCTTGCAGAGCCTAAGTGGCGTTTTCGTTTTTATCCCTTCATATCTAAGTACTTGCCACAGGGTCGAAGGGTTCCTAAATCAAGGAAGTAGGAGATGCAAAAGCACCTATGCTTTCCTGTCAACAAGACTTTGGGACTTTTCTTTCTTCCTTTCTCTTGAGGTGACCAAAAAAAAAAAGGTAAAGAAACGCAAAGGAGAAATAAAGACCAGATGAGGAGTGGTGGTGCCACACGAAATGGGAAAAGAAGCCAAAAGACCTTGAAAAATATTAATGCTTGATAGACGGGAAGACGTTTCTCAATTTTTAAGTCTCTTTTTTTAATCAGATATTCATAGTGTGTACATAACATACCTTGGAATGTGTTACTGTCACTCTCAGATTTCGAATAAAACCCATGAAGGTGTTGATTAGTTTAATTGGGTGATTGTATCTTATGATAAAAGACAAATAAATTCTCTTTGTATGGATATATGCTAATTAGCTTAGTAAGTTATTCGATGGTTGTGTGAAGAATCTAGTATCCAAACTTTATCTTCACTAAAGATGAAGGACGTGGGGATAAGGTGAATGTCAGAAGGTGACCATTGCAGTGCAGGGCGTGAAAGCAAAACGAAAGTCACATGCTTCTTTCTTTTTACCATTGACTGCAGCGACACGTTACTGTTAGCGACTAACGACGAGATGTTGGGTTAACAGCTAATAAAGAGGCGCGCGAGACAAAGTGCACACCGCGAAAGCAACATCCTGGCGGTTGTTTTCACGTGCTTTTCTCCCTCTTTCTCTTCCGTTGAGATAGAAAGAAAGAAGAAAATAGTATTCAAAGCATGAAACTTTCCCTTTCGATCAGACCCTCTTTTAATCCTCCTTAATACTTCAATCATTCCCTTCTTTCTCTCTGCTTTCCTCTCCATGAAGGTAAGAAGGTAAGACATTTTTGCTCCTTGAAAAAAAATAAAACTTTCTGTTTGATTCCTGAGAAAACCGTCTTTGGTTTTAAGTTCTGGTGAGTGGGGGTTTAGTCTTCTTAACTCTCAATGAACTAAAAGCCTTGTGATTGATATGTTTCGATAATTTAACTTTCTTTTTTTTTTTTCTCTTTTGTGTCTCTGGTTGGTTGGTGAGAAAGGAAATGGGAAAAAAATTCTACAGATTCTATTTCTTAAAGAAGGAATTCAAGGATGGATCTGAATTCTAAGTTGTCCAAAAACTAGCTATTCTTGTTTTCTCTGGTCTCTATTCAGAAACTAAAAAAACTGATAAAGCTCACAGCAAATAAAAGAAGCTTTTTTCACATCCCCTCCTTCCTTTGATAGTGCATGCCTTTGCTTTTTCCTCTTTTTCACATTAGTCATTTTGAAGTTCATTCTTGTTTGATTTCTTATGTTATCAGGTTGTATTTGCAAATCCAAGCGGATCAATGTTGAGAATATGTGATATGTCTGTTCATATGGGTCGAAAGAAGAAGAACAAGCGGCTTCTGGTGTCAAAGGTGTAACCTTTGGTAGATGGCTTCTTGATATTGTGTTTAGTTGATATCTAAATAGATATAATAATGGTGTCATCTGATTGATACCTTTTGTTGGAAATGCAGGATATGGTAAAAAGTTTAACTTCATGATAAAGTTGTTTTTACTTAATTGTTGCTGGAAAGCATTTAGCTGTTGTTCACTGTTAGGCTTTAGAATTTTTTTGGAGTGATGTTATTAACTTAGTAACTCCAATACCTTGCTGGGTTGCTAGTAGTTTAAACTTTTAGGAATGTTGGGAAGTAGTCTTCCTTCAAATATCTAATGGAGGCCCTGGGGAAGAAGAGAAAGGGCCCAGAAGTGTTGCCATCATGTCGCAGGTCATTTACTCCTGTAACAATTGTTTGGTCTCACTTATCATTGGAAGATTACTCGAGGCAGAAAAAGAAGTGTAAGGAAGATGAAGTTAAAGTAGCTGTTGGCTCTGCTAGGAGTGTAGTCAGAGGAATTGTCACTGCTCCACCTTGTGGGAGTGCAACTCTGGATCCACCCAATAGGGGCCTTAAGAGGAAAATTGGGTGCATTGATGCAGCAACTAGATTGGGTAGGAAAAAGAAAATTGAGCAAGATTATGATTTGGGTGCAACAATTGGATGTGGAAAGTTTGGATCCGTTGTATTGTGTCGAAGTAAAGTGAATGGTGAAGAGTTTGCATGCAAAACATTACGCAAGGGTGAAGAGCTTGTGCATCAGGAAGTGGAGATAATGCAACACCTTTCTGGTCATCCTGGTATTGTGACATTGAAGGCAGTATATGAGGATTTGAAATCCTTCTTTCTTGTGATGGAGCTCTGCTCTGGGGGACGGTTGCTGGATCAGATGGCTAAAGAGAGGCAGTATTCAGAGTATTGTGCTGCTAATATACTCAGGGAACTGGTTCTAGCTATCAAATATTGCCATGATATGGGTGTTGTTCATCGAGATATAAAGCCTGAGAATATCCTTCTCACAGCTTCTGGACAGATGAAGCTCGCAGACTTTGGATTAGCAGTGAGGATGTCAAATGGTAATTTTGTTTTTCAAGTTTATTCTGGTCTTCTGATATTCATGGATATGTTCGGGGGTCTGGACTATTTAAGCTGTTCAATTTATATTGGATGCTCAATGTTTATTTTCACTGTGAATTAGACCATCTGCTCCTTTGGTTGAGCCACTTTGAGTCCATCAGTAGATTAAGGGCAGTAAATCATGATTGATGCAATAATAACTTGTTTGATAAATCAAGCATCTAACTGCTTTGTGTTTAATCAATACTTATTGGCTTTTGAGGTTATGCTTGACATGCATGTTTTATTTGCAACTAAAATGAAATTTATAAAAATATGAAAAGAGGCCAAATGGCAGAAAGAAGACATCCAAAGTTTTACTCTAGGAAATGAAATATTTAAGATGATGCCATCAGCTGTGCCTGTGTACCATGACCCTCTTTTTAGTGAAATGAGAACACTTGATAATGCATTTTTTTTTTAAACTGAAATGTGTCGTTCCATCGATGTCTACTAGTGGTTCTTTATATTTGAATTCTCTATCACAGCGTTCAATTATGGGCAGTTAGTCTAAATGAACATTTGCTTTCTTTCTTCTAGGTCAGAGCTTGACAGGTGTGGTAGGGAGTCCTGCTTATGTTGCCCCGGAAGTTTTAATGGGCAATTATTCAGAAAAAGTTGACATCTGGAGTGCCGGTGTCCTCCTTCATGCTCTCTTGGTTAGTGTACTTCCATTCCAAGGTGATACTTTGGATTCAGTCTTTGAGGCTATTAAGAATGTCAGCCTTGATTTTGAGAATGGAGTATGGAGATCCATCTCTCAACCCGCACGGGATCTGGTCGCCCATATGATGACAAGAGATGTTTCAGCAAGGTTAACTGCTGATGAAGTATTAAGTAAGTATACTGTATTCTCAATATTTTTCTGAATTATTTAAAAATAAGATATCTAGTTACAGAAAACACCGCTGTTGGTGCTTTGAAAAATGACTCTGCCAATAATAGTTTCATTGACCAACCAACATTACTGTAAAGCACTTCATTTTCATTTTATCAGAGGCTGTTTTATGGGAAACAATCTAGTTGCATGCCACTATTCACGTTGTATCATGCATACCTGATACCTTAAACAGTGAATGCTACAGAAGCATCCATGAATTATTGCCTTCCTAAGTCAAGTTCTTGATCTCTTCTGGGCCATTAGGAAATTGGTTCTGTCTCAACTTGTTAGACCAGCTGCTCAGTTGTTCCTCCAGTCATGTTTAAGCTACATTGAAAAAATATCTGATAAATGGCATCAAACAATTTATGCAGAAGACATGAAACTGTTTGAGTCGCCACTCCAATCTGTGTTTAACCACATCGTGATCAACTATAAAATTACTAAACGCTTATAAACAAATTAGGCAATTATCTAAGAGTTTATATGCTTGTTTAGATTGTAGTTTTACCGAGAAGGAATTAAATGCCAGAGAGAGAAAAAGAAAAAATGAAATGAAATCCAACTTATGTATTTTGTCTTTTGATGCATTTGACTTTATAATTTTCCAGGGCATCCATGGATACTGTTCCATACTGAAGCAACATTGGAAATGGTTGCTTTGAAGCCAGGAATGAGAAACCATGGAAGGCTGACGTCCCAACAACTGACTATCTCACCCGGGGTAGTGTCAGAGAGAAACAAGGAAATAGCAAGTGGCTTTCTTAATGATGATTGTTTCCTCTTTTTATCATCTGATAGTTCACCTACAACAGGGTCAGAAGTGCAGGACTGCATGTTGGTTGATGCTCTCACTGTTGCAATTTCACGTGTGAGGATATCTGAACCAAAAAGAACCAGACTATGTGGCTCCACTGGTCCTGTTCAACAAGAGTGTTCTTCTAACATTAAGATCGACAACCTCTGTACAGCATTTTGAGTCCACTGTACAAAAGTGCTGACAAACATGGAAAGATAGCTCCACATGATTGAAGCTTTGATTGGATGGCAAATACTAAAGATGGTTAGAATAAGCTGACTCTTTTAATTGGTATGATGTGGATAACTTGACTTGCTGTTAAAATATGCTTTGCAGATTTCCTATGTAAATAGAAAGTGCACATTATTGGATACTGCCTATGTGTTGGATGTGCAGTTCAGTTAATCAGGGAATTTGAATGTGGAGTATCTCCACCCTGCTGCCTCCTCTTCCCCCTCTCCCCATTATGTTATCTAATTTTTCTGGTCATCAGCATTTATTGTTATTTGCTTGTGCACATGGTGAAGGTGAAGACAAAAATGCAAAGTCATATTTACATTAAGAAACCTGATGCAGGCATAACTTGCTCACGGCCTTCCCTGATGCCAGTGCTTATTGTCTCTCTAGTCAGAATTGTAAAGTTGAGATGAGTTTCTCTAGGTTGTGCTTTGTCTCTGCCACCACATCATTCTGCCATTCGAGAAGTTACAACTCCATTCTTCCATCCCCCCACCCATAGCCATAGGAGGCATTGTTTTGCTTCTCTCTTGTATAGTAGGGGTCTAGATATTCCTCATTTTCACCACACCTCATCCTGCAGGAAAAATGCTAATTGCTAAAACTGGCTAAAAATGGTATTCCTTCGTTGACATAGTAATCGAGAAAAAGTTGGAAAAATGTATCCTCTCATCAAATCTTTTAGCGGCATATAAGCAGGTCAATCCTCAATGGAGTTGTTCTACTAATAAATTGGAAGTCCCAGATCAGATATAATATGAATGCTCTGATTGCTTGTTGACTGAACCTCGTAAAAAGGAGTCAGATGAGAGCCCATAGTAACATACAAGTTTGAAATGATTTATAGGCCAAGTAACTTCAGATTTCAGTGTTCATTGGAATCTTCTCAAATTGTTTTTTCCACTTTTACGCCATTAGTTTTCTTTTTTGGGCATCTGGTCTGTAGCCGGTTATTTTAAGGGGAACTGCTTGGTTCTAATGAATATTGGAAGCTCAATTGGCAGGGGCAGAGGACTTGTCTTTATCGAATACTTTTAATGCATATTGGTAAAAGTAAGAGATCATAAATATTTTAAAAGGTCTGATAAGAAATTAAAGTTTGTTGGGAAAAGAAAGTACTAATAACTGATGATTACATTAATCTTATTTTCAGAAACCAAAGCAAAAATGAAAAAAGGCAATACAGTGACTAAGATATTTCAGTGTTATCCAGAGCCAATGTCCACTGGGAGAAAAGGGTCTTAACCAAAAAGCTAGTGGAACTAAACCCATTAAACACCAGCTAATTAGCTACTTTGTTATGGAAATATGAATTTAGATTTGGACATTGGATGCCTGATGCTTAAGTCTACATATATAAAGTGAGATTATAGTTTAACCCTCAAGTTCTACTACCTAATAGTGCTGCACCTTTTCAGAACCCTCAATTTCCATATCCTCCACTTCTTTTTCCAAATATATTAATCTCAATAACTCACCATACATTTTTTTATAAATGATTAAAAAGAGAATTTACTAATACAACTCCTTTTTTTGTACACCTTTTACTTATATATCAACCTCTATTATCCTTGTTTGTTTTCTTCAACAAATTTATCCTCTTGCCAACAATTTCTTTTATTAATGGAAGAATAACATCGTCGACAAATTAATCTACTGAAAGTATATTTTTAACGAAATGATATTATCAACACAGTATTTGAAATATTAAAAATCAGTTTGTTGTAGTGTTTTTTTTTCTCCTGAACTCACTACTTTCTTAATTTCTTCTTCACTAATCATTTCGATTTAATAATTTGGAAGCCAACTTAAAAGTAAAAAATACTGAAACTAAAGCATAGTAAGCTTTACCCACGTTACACATTAAATAAAGGAAACGTAAGATTGAAGTATGTTTCAAATTATATAGCTTTTAATCTTTTACACATCTAGGTGTATCTTGCTTCCTGCCTTAAAATCTGGATTTTAATTTGTTTTTATATCAGTTTTGATCTGTTTTTTTTTCTTTCCTTTCAGGTGAAGCTATTCTTTTTAAGTTTGTAGGTCAAAATAGATCCACTAATAACCGTCGGATGGCCATAAAGTTCATATGTGAAAAAAGAGGTCATGCGTTGGAAATGGCATGCTTTATATTTTAATTGTATATTATCTTGTCAACTTGCATCCCCACAGCACCAGAAAGTTGAGACTTTTCTGTTCAAATATGCATTAAACATGAGAATTTTCTGATATATGCTACAATTTGGGAATTCGTAAAGTTGGGTTTCCCATTGCTACTTTTATTTGTTTATTATTATAACTTAAATGTTTTTTTTTCTTAGAGAGAGAGAATATTTGAGTGAGGCATTTGGGATATGAATTGTGATAATTTGTCAGTTTCTGAGAGAGTAAGGACACCAAATTCCATTCTCCTCCAAGCCTCAAAGCATCATCTACACAGCTTCTTACAATCAATTTCCTACCTTGGCATTCCCTTTTTCTTTTTCCGTAGCCATGAACAAATCTTGTCCAGGATCAATACACAGACCTACAAGCTTCAAATACGAGCGGACCCTCTTGCCATTCTCTTTTTATTCCCCGAAACTCGCCCTTTACATCCTAGCTATTTGTGCCACCCTTTTACTTCTCTTACAAATCCGATCCCTCCATACGCCACCCATTCCCACCCTTCCCTCCCCTTCACCGTCCTGGTCTTTCTTGCAACAATGGCAAAAAGTCATCAACAAAACTTTAGCTTCACCCAACTGCACCCAGGACGTCCTGGAGTCCATGACTCAAAAGCTTCGCGATTCCGTTACGTTTCTCCCACTGAAAGACCTTCGTTTTGCAAACCAACCCCTTCCAGGCCACACATGGTTTATGAGTTCCATGTATGATACTCACGAGGAAGGTGAGGTTCAATACCAACAGTTTCCGTCTGATTCCTCCAACGGTAGGCTGCTCTGCCTGAAAGGCCGCGACACCCATGACGGCTCCTGGAACTACTATGCATTGGCATGGCCTGAAGCACTTCCTTCCAATGCTAGCCTGATGAAAGGCCTGACTTTTGTAGCTTACAATCATTACAATTATGATAACATATGGCACGGTCTGTCGGCTATGGTACCTTTCGTTGCTTGGCATAGAAAAAACAGTTGTGAAACTCCCACGAGATGGATCCTGTACCACTGGGGTGAGCTCAGGTTCAAAATGGGTACCTGGCTAATCACCCTGATGGAGGCTACATTTGGCCAGGCTCCGTACATCGAAGGGTTTAGTGGAATTGAAGATGATGATCAGCCAGTTTGCTTTGAAAAGGCTGTCGTGATGAGACACAACGAGGGAGGGATGTCAAGGGAGAGAAGAATGGAAGTTTATGATCTTATTAGGTGTAAGGCTCGCGTGTACTGTAATGTGAGCGGTGACCAGAAAAGACCAGGCATCGGGATGACCTTGCTCATGAGGACTGGACCAAGATCTTTCAGGAACGAGACAGCTGTGATTGGGATCTTTGAAAAGGAGTGCAAGAAAGTAGAGGGCTGTCAGTTAATAGTGGCTTACTCCAACAATCTCACCATTTGTGAGCAGGTTAGTATACTAGTATTTGTATTTTCTTAATTTGCCTTTGAAATGTTCTTCAAAATTTGAGTGCGTTACACATGTGAAACACATTCAAAACAGGTTATATATTGGGATACTGGGATTCATGTGGTTCCATGATTCTGTGTAATCCCACTTAAAGGAATGCCGCCATGTAAATAAGGTGATACTTAGGAATCAGATCACTGAAAATTAATTATTATTATTATTATTAATCAGGGTTTTAGAGGAGAATATTCTCCCCCACCACCCATCACCACTATCTAACCGGATTTAACTTTAGTCAACATATGCAAGATTCAATGATATGTGATACAGGAACTGCAAATCCATGTTTGGAACATCCATGGCAATCTTCTTGATTAGGTTTGGTTTTCAAAATTGATCGTATTTTACATTATGAACAAGTTAAAAAAAATTTATAAATATTTGATAAAGTAGTATCCAAACATTTAACTCATTGATTAGTATATAATTTTTTTTTTGAAAAAAGATTCGAATCCCTCTTTCTTTATTTTTTAAAAAAATTATAAAAAGATTAGTAATTAATATATTATCTTTATATAAATTTAGTTAAACTAGAGTATAATTAAATAAAAAATATTTCTTGAAATAAAAATTTTAACTAAGTGATCGATGTTATATTTGTTCGGTTGAGTTGTGTTATTATATTTGATTTAATGATACAAAGATTTGAGTACTCTAATTAGTTCAGTAGATGAACTCAAAAAATTCAGGTGCTAATTAAGAGTGCTTGACCTGCTTGGAAATTTACATGTTTGAAAATCCAGGTGAAGCTAATGAGTTTAACGGATATTTTAATATCCCCACACGGTGCCCAGTTGACCAACATGTTCCTAATGGATCGAAACAGCAGCGTGATGGAGTTCTTCCCCAAAGGATGGCTAAAGCTTGCCGGCGTAGGCCAGTACGTGTATCATTGGATGGCTAGCTGGTCCGGAATGAGGCACCGAGGCGATTGGAGAGACCCCGACGGGGAAAACTGCCCCTACTCAGAAGATGATCGTCGCTGTATGTCACTCTACAAAAGTGGCAGGATTGGACACAATGAGACCCATTTCGCTGAGTGGGCTAGAAATGTTCTAAATGATGCCAAAACAAGCAAGTCAGAAGAGGCTTCGAAACATGCACAAAATTCTATTTCCAAAACTTGTGATTGTAGTTAATTGGTCTTTTCCTTTTCATTTCTGGAAACCAGAGCCATTGAATTCTACTTAGTTTGGAGATTTCATCGTTATGTATAGAAAATGTTTGTATGACTTGGAATAATCCTGATTCATCTGCAATAACAAGAAGTTTTGTTTGATTTCAATTTCGGGTCCTGCAAGCACTCCTGGAATAAGAAAATGTCCCTAATTCTTTGGATTCTTCGCTTTAAGTCGGCCCAATTTCAACTGGGCCATTTGCCATTTCAGGTCTGATCTCAAGTGGACCTCATTATCACACTCCAAGCATTAACAGTCAGTCTCAGCTCAAGTCAGCATTGGCCCACCAAACTCCAGTTGAAATCGAGTTGAGAAGCCTAACAACAATGAAATGCCAAAATATAGAAATATCATTCATCAAGAGACCCAAAAAGTAAAGGAAAAAGTTGGAAATTTTTGTTTTTTTTTTCTACCATCATGATTCATGAGAGGAAGAGAAAGGACATTCTCGTCCATGAAACTA